TAACCCATGGGGTTACGCTAAGGTCTGGTTCATCCTTGGTGGAAATCAAGGGTTGCCTCTGATATCCCTCCATTGCATTCCAGCCGCTGACACCCCCTTCACACACACACACACACACACACACACACACACACACACACACACAAATGGTCACACACCCAAGGGCTGAAGGAAAACTTCCTGAAGCGTGGGGCACAGCTCCTCCCCCAGGGGCACAGCTCCTCCCCCACGCTCCTTCGCTCCCTTTCCAGGCCTGCCATACGCCTCCTTGAAGGAAAGGGCAATCCCTGAACAGGGTGGGCCTCCAGCTCTCACAGGCGCCAAGTGGAACAGGGCCTCTGACCCCCCCCCCTCCCCCCACCGAGGGAGCCAGGACCCCACTGAGCCCGGAGGGAGCTGGGTCCTGGAGACTCTGAGAAGGAAATGACATCCTCCTGCTCCGGTGCCCTTCTGGGGAGTGTCACCCTCACGCTCATCCTTAAGGACCCTCTCTGAGTCCCCATCCCAAACCTGCTCAACTCTGCAAACTAGACAGACACTGCAGGCTCAGCACGTCTTCCCCACCCCCTCAGCCTCGGAAGAGACACCCAGCAAGGAGGGTTGTAGAAAAGCACAGGCTTTGCCCTGGCTGGTTTGGCTCAGTGGGTGGAGAGTCGGCCTGTGGACTGAACGGTCCCGGGTTCGATTCTGGCCAGAGGCGTGTGCCTTGGTTGCAGGCACATCCCGGGTGGGGGGTGTGCAGGAGGCGGCTGATCAATGTTTCTCTCTCATCGATGTTTCTAGCTCTCTATCCCTCTCCCTTCCTCCAGTGGGAGCCGCCAAGTTCGGCGGCCTCTAATAAATCAGTGAAATATATTAAAAAAAAAAAAAAGTATAGGCTTTGAATTCAGATCTGAGGTCCTGCACTTGCTGGTGGGTAATCTTGGGCAAGTGTGTCTGTGTCTCCATGACTCAGGTTACTCACCTGTGAAACTGGTGTAAGAGTGTCTTGTAGGGAGGGGTTAAATGAGACAGTGCATGTAACACTCAACTCAGTTCCCGGGACACAGTAAGTGCTTAATAAATAATGACTATCATTATCACCTTATCATGGAGGGGCTTGCCCACAGTCACAGGGAGAGGGCAAAGCTGGAGAGAGCAGCCCCACACCACTGCCTTCGAAGGTTTCATGCGGACAGTGCCTGTGTCAGCTATTACCATAACCAACGGACTGAGCATCTTGACTTGGGATCAAAAATTATTTTTTGAATGAATGAAAGAACTAAGAACCAGCCCTCTAATACTATCACTTTGAGTTCCTGCCTGATTCACAAATTGATTTCAGCCCAAATCCACTGCCCTTTTTGCCTTCCTCTACCCAATCTTCCAACCCCCATCCCTGACCCCCAGACCCTTCCACCTGAGTTCTGGCTGGACAGACCCTAGCGGGGATTGGGGTGGAGGCCAGGGCAGGGAGCCAGGACAGTGGCTGGGGGGCCAGAGGACCCCCACCAGTGTCCCCTCCTGGGGCCAGCTCAGGGGAGAGAGGCTCCCAGCGCGGTGTCCTTAATAGGCTTTGGTCTCCATGGGAACCGAGGGCAGGGGGGCTTGGGCAGGGGGAGGGGAGCGGCCGGGGCCTGCTGACCAGTGG